AAAAGTTTGATTAAAAAAAAAATTCTATAAACTGTATTTTTAAAAGGATGAAATCTCCAATGTGCATGAACATACAGAATTGCAGTTTATGTTATTGCTACATGAACTGTTAAAGAACACATCTTTGGCCCCGGTCACATGAGCAAGATAATCCGGGGGGAAGTGAGGCTTTTTGCTCCAGAGCAAAACGAAGCATGGTATCATGATCAGACGTTCCCCCGAGGCGCCGTGCTCAGGCCGTCAGCCACCGATCACATGTTGATGGTGAAGCGTGGCAAAGAAGGGGGGGAGAAAGAAGCGGCATGGCACGATCACACATGTGGTGACATGTTTGTGTGCATGCGCAGTTCCGTGTTTGCACACATACCATGGAGACGTAAAAAAACCCATCTGGTGGGACGCAGACAGGCACCGGATGTGACAGGATACTAGTGCTTCTGTGATCAGACGCCCGCCTGTGTTGCGCATTTTCCGGAAAATAGTGCACTTTCCCTGGTATCTTTTTACTCCGCATCTTTGGTGGGGTGATATGGGTTGCTGACGGGTGCGGGACACTTGCCAGATGTTTTCGTGTGATCGCACCCTTAAAATCCACCTGGCATTTGTCCCTATCGCATGGCTAATTCTGCATGTGACCAGGACCTTTCATTACTTTTTAAGAATTCAGCTAAACTTCTGGCTTTCAGTGCCACACAAAAGAGGCAGAACATTACTTTCATATATTTCAGTCACTGCTGCAGCTCAAAGGAAAAAAGCATTTTTATAATGCAATTTGCTTTGCTATTTTAAAAGGAACTCAGCACTGCTGGGTTAGAACAGGTTCGCCCTGTGAATTTTCCACAAAGCATGGATTCCCTGGATTCCCTGCTTGCTAGCAGGAAAAAGACTTGGCAGCTGGCAACGGAGGCCACCCAACCTCCCCTGTCTTCCCCCACTAGCCAGCTGAGCAGAGAGGGGTTTAAACTTTAAACCCCCTCTCTGGAGTCATGCCACAGTAGTGGCACAATTTCTCCATTGGATACAATGGAGGAAGAGAGGGGAGGAAGGGGGCAACTGTGTGGCCTCTTTGTCTGCCGAGTCTTCTTCCTGCTAGCAAGCAGGGAGAAAACTCCACTGGCAAGAGGCTGTACCTCCCGTCTCTTGCCTGCCAGCTGAGCAGAAAGGGTTTTAAACTTTAACCCCCCTCTCTCGAGTCACGTCGCAGCTGTGGCACAATTTCTCCTTGTTTCAGCTCAAACTGTTTACAGAACCTCAAAGCAGCAACTTGGAGGGCATGTAAAGGAGCATCCCAGAGAGATCACCTGTGACTCTGATGTCTATAGCTTGCACAGGATCTGTTCTATACAATTACAAACCTGAATCATTTTGACAGGCACAGTTTCAGGAAGTTCAGGAGTGTATAGAACAAATCGTGTGCAAGCTGGAGACACCAAGTTCGCAACAGACCTCCCCTGGATACTCCACTACATGCTCTCCAAGTTTAGTGTCTCTAGCGTGCACAGGATCTGTTCTGTACACTCCTGAACCTCCTGAACCTTCACCTGTCAAAATGACTGCTTGTCAGAAGGTTGAGTGTATAGAACTGATCCTCTGCAAGCTAGAGACACCAAACTCACAGGGGACCTCTGGCTGACTCTCCTCTACCTGCCCTCCAAGTTTGGTGTGGATTAGATTACAGGGTCTGAGATACTGCCCCCCAGGAAGGTGCCTCCAGGAAACTGCCTATCATTTCCCCAGAAAGCACTTTCCTGGGGATACCTTCTTTGGGGGCCATGACTTGGACCTCATAAATCCAATCCTCACCAAACTTGGAGGCCAGGTAGAGGAGAGTTAGCAGGAGATCTGGGGGGGACCATAACCAGGGCTAAAAGAGTTGACCTGACGCGTTTCGGCCGAATCAGCCTCCAGGAAACTGCCTGTCATTTCCCTAGAAAGCAATTTCCTGGGGATACCTTCTTTGGACCTCATAAATCCAATCCTCACCAAACTTGGAGACCAGGTAGAGGAGAGTTAGCAGGAGATCCGGGGCGGGGGGAGCATCCTACTGCCTCACGAACCTCATGAACCTCACCGGTTTGTGAGGTGGCTAAAAATTCATGATGGTTCATGGTTTGCGAACGGGGCACATCAGAAACCACAAACTGAACTGCATTTTCCCAGTTTGTGCCCATCTCTAGAAATGACTGAGCCACGAAAAACAGAAATTCAGAGAGCAGGTACCACTGCAGAGAAGACCCTGCTCTGTGTCCAAACTGTTGTCATGTTATTGCATGACAGCACATAAGACAAGAAAGCATATATGGTAGAAAGTTTCCTGACACATCTCTAGTGTCCATGGTTTGAACTATAAAGGCAATAGTTAGTGCTTTGAAATAGCCAGCAACATCAATAACAGTCTGCTTTAAGAAATCCACTTGCAACATCACCTCTAGTCAACCCTGCCGACTCAACTTGTTTTTGAAAGAAGCTTTATTACATCACAGATGCCATCATTCTGCCTGGTCATAACGTTTTTTCAAAAGAAACACCATTGCTTCCTTCCCCTAATCCCAGGAGGCAATAACTTGGCGTTGAGCTAGACTAACTGAAAAGAGACAGCACTGAGCTATGTTGATCTCTAACCTCTTCCCTGCCCTCTTGGCCTTAAGACCAGAAAAAGAGCAAGAAAAGAAGACACTGGCAGCTGGCATAATACAAGAATTACAGTGCAATCCTAAACAGAGTTATACCCATCTAAATCCATTAAATTAAATTGGTTTAGAGTGGTGTGACTCTGTTTAGGATTGCAGAATCAATGTCATCCTCCAGGGAAACGACCTGCTGTCAAGGAGGAAACTGTTTTATGCACAAACCTCTCTGATGTTCTTAAAATGCGCTTTTTTCAGCTAAAGCAGAGAATGAAAGTCTTAATTCATACGGAGGCTGCTTAAGTTAATGTTTTTAAATAATAAAAACAAGTTTTTCCTTCCAGTTGTAAGAATTAGGAATGCTCCCCATCAATAGTGCTTCTACTGAAAGGATATCAGATATTTCAATTACTTACACCACATTATTTTGTCAATGAGAACATGAAAATGTTGCACGCCCATTGTAATTGTGAGGGCTGTACATAACGAGGTTGTGGGAAGTCATGTTCTGGTCACACTGCTGTCATTATGGGACAAAATTCTCCTTCCCACACCAATGTTTTTGTTATCTTGTACAAAATAATTTAAATTTAATATCTTAATAAATATAATATGAGAAAGTTTTTAACGTGGTTCAAATTATAGGCATTTTTTTAGGGAAGACAGTTAATGTAGTAGAAGTTTTAAAGTATTTAATAAGCTTTTAATCTTGAAGTTGTAAGCTACAAGGGAAAGGCAGGATAGAAATATTTTAATAAATAACACAATGAATTCTTTAAAGTCTAAGTACTCCTCTGCTATACAATTTAACATTGAGATGTACAGAATATCCCTTTTCTACAAGGCTCAAATACAAAGAAGGAAAATCCATTATCTATAGTACAATTTATATTGAAAATGTAATTGAAATCTGGCAGTTTGTGTCCATCTCCTCCTCCTCATACCCCCCAGGCAGCAAACATAAGCACAACTTCCAATTCAGCAAGCAATTTACATAATTTATATTCAAGACCATGGATGCAACTAACACTATGGCACTGGTCTAGGATCAGCATGAATGTATGGGAATAATGCTCTTTTAAAAGTAATTTCTAAGATGCTTTTCTTGTGACTGCTCTGTGCATGAGTATCAACAGTGCAATCCTAAGCAGAGTTACACCCTTCTCAACCTTTTGACACCAATGGCTTTAGAAGTGTGCAACTCTGCACAGAATTGCAGTGCAGGAAACACAAATTGGTACCATTCCAACAAAGAGATAGCTCCTGATTTCAACAGTATGTTAGATCATGGCTACTTAAGTTCATAAATTAAAATATTTGTGACCAGGAGATTCTAAGTAGTATTTGATACAGTTATGGATGGGGAAGGGGGAATTAATTAATGCAGGGGTCATTTCGTGGAAAAAGAGCTAAAATGTCTTTTATTCACATAATATTGGAATCCACATTCTCATATTTTGGCTAAGTAGATAGTATGATTTTATTGGGATGTTATATATAATCAGCCTATAAATGAGTAGAAGAGGGGGGAAACCCTCTTTTTTAAAATTAATTTTCCACTCCTTTCTGAAGGCAATATTCTGGTATTCAGCTAGGGTTACCAGGTCTGGGTTGGAAAATATCTGGAGACTTTGGGGGTGGATCCAGAAGAGGGCAGAGTTTGGGGAGGGGAGTGGCCTCAACATGGTACAATGCTGTAGAGTCCACCCTTCAAAGCGGCTATCTTCTCCAGGGGAGCTGATCTCTGTTAGCTGGAAATCAGTTGTAAAAGTGGCAGATCTCCAGGCCCCACCTGGAGGCTGGCAACCCTATGTTGCCATTATGGGCTTAATCATGATCATCATTGCTTTTTAATTTTACTTTCACATACTCTTTTCCAGATAAATCCTGACAGATTAAAGCGTTTATCACGAGTCTAAGGAGCTATCTTCCTGAGAATAATAGGAACTGGCAGATACTGACCACAGCTTGTGTAACAGCAGTAAATTGTAAACATTACAGAACCAGCCACTCTTTGAGAAGTGCTAGGTTAGCATTTCACTTTATTTTCAGTTTTCATCTATAATTTCAACTAGAAGCAGAAAAGTCAAAAGTATCTTTTGGTTACTTTGCTGCATCTACCACATAACTGTTAGCAGGAGGGAATCTTAAAACCACTTGATTCCATTTAAAATGATTTCATCATATTTCATTGCTACTTACTTTAACCTCTATCACCCATGCTAAATTCATGCTGCTATGAAGTGGATCCTACACAGAAGTATCATGTGTTTCAATGGAGTTTAGGAAGTGGTATGAGGCTTAGTCTTTTGGATATGGACACAATTCACACACCAAGAAGATTAATTGTTTTGTGTATTACATCAGACTTACTCTCATTCTTGTAAGGACGTGAGCTGGTTTCTTCTTTTCTTTCCTCATTGTATTGAGGCCTAGTAGTTGTGTCACTGTGCACTGCAGCAGCTGACTCTACCCCCACAGACTTTGCAGACAAATAATTTACAGGATGAGCCATTACCCCTTGAATCATTTCAGATGACAGGAGATAGCTTGGACCTCCTCAAAATCCATCTCCACCCCCCCGTTTGTTGTTCCTGAAAAGGAGAGGAAAATCCATCCTTTCTCAGCCCTAGCTAAGAAGCTCCATAGTAACCAAGTTGTTGGGAGTGATGCCTCAGAATTCTATTATGACTGAAAGGGTTTGCCAACAATAAATAAGGCCCACAGAAAATCAAGATGGCAGGGTTTTCCTACCTTAAGGTCTCCAATAGTCAGTTTAGACATTACTTTCCTTGTAAGGGGCAATAAGCTGCCTTGTCCCTATAACAAACTTCTGCAAGAGTGTTTTCCCTTTTTTTGCAAGAACGTATGCAGCACTCCCCCTCATGGATCACTGCCTTGTCCAATAGTCAGTTTAGACATTACTTTCCTTGTAAGGGGCAATAAGCTGCCTTGTCCCTATAACAAACTTCTGCAAGAGTGTTTTCCCTTTTTTTGCAAGAACGTATGCAGCACTCCCCCTCATGGATCACTGCCTTGTTGTGGTGAGGGGGCTTGTGTAGTTCGATGAAGCTGTGGGCTATGCCGTGAAGGGCCACCAAAGACGGACAGGCCACAGCAGAGAACTCAGACCAAGAGTGATCCCCTTGGAGAAGGAAATGGCAACCCGCTCCAGTATTTTTGCCAAGAAAACCCCATGGACAGTATCAAAAGGCTAAAAGATATGACGCCGGAAGATGAGCCCCTCAGGTTGGAAGGTGTCCAATATGCTACTGAGGAAGAGCAGAGGGCAAGTACAAGTAACCCCAGAAAGAGTGAAGCGGCTGGGCCAAAGCCGAAAGGACCCTCAGTTGTGGATGTGTCTGATGGTGAAAGGAAAGTCCAATGCTGCAAAGAACAATACTACATAGGAACCTGGAATGTAAGATCTATGAATCAAGGTAAGCCTGACGTGGTCAAAAATGAGATGGCAAGACTGAACATCGATATCCTAGGAATCAGTGAACTAAAGTGGACAGGAATGGGCGAATTTAACTCAGAAGACCATTATATCTACTACTGTGGCCAGGAATCTCGTAGAAAAAATGGTGTGGCCTTTATAGTCAACAAGAGAGTGCAAAAGGCAGTACTGGGATACAATCTCAAAAATGACAGAATGATTTCGGTCCGATTCCAAGGCAAACCATTCAACATCACAGTAATCCAAGTCTATGCCCCAACCACTGATGCAGAAGAGGCTGAAGTGGACCGGTTCTATGAAGACCTACAACACCTCATAGAACTAACACCAAAAAATGATGTCCTCATCATCATAGGGGACTGGAATGCTAAAGTAGGAAGTCAAAAGGTAACTGGAATAACAGACAAGTTTGGCCTTGGAAAGCAAAATGAAGCAGGGCAAAGGTTAACAGAGTTTTGTCAAGAGAACACACTGGTCATAGCGAACACCCTTTTCCAACAACCTAAGAGGCGACTCTACACATGGACATCACCAGATGGGCAACACCGAAATCAGATTGACTATATAATTTGCAGTCAAAGATGGAGAAGCTCTATCCAGTCAGTAAAAACAAGACCTGGAGCTGACTGTGGTTCAGATCATGAGCTACTCATTGCAAAATTCAGACTTAAACTGAAGAAAATCGGGAAAACCATGAGGCCATTCAGGTTTGACCTAGATCACATCCCTGATGAATATACAGTAGAGGTGAAGAATAGATTCAAGGGTCTGGATTTGATAGATAGAGTGCCTGAAGAACTATGGACAGAGGTTCGTGACATCGTACAGGAGGCAGCAATCACCACCATACCAAAGAAAAAGAAATGCAAGAAAGCAAAATGGCTTTCTGATGAGGCTTTACAAATAGCAGAGGAAAGAAGGAAAGCGAAAGGCAAAGGCGAAAAGGAAAGATTTACCCAACTGAACGCAGATTTCCAGAGAACAGCAAGGAGAGATAAGGAGGCCTTCCTGAATGAACAGTGCAAAGTAATAGAAGAAAACAATAGAATGGGAAGGACTAGAGATCTCTTCAAGAAAATTGGAGAAATCAAGGGAGCGTTCCATGCAAAGCTGGCCATGATAAAGGACAAAAACGGTAGGGACCTAACAGAAGCAGAAGAGATTAGGAAAAGATGGCAAGAATACACAGAAGAACTATACAAGAAAGACCTCAATGTCCTTGACAAACACGACGGTATAATCACTGACCTTGAGCCAGACATCCTGGAATGTGAAGTTAAATGGGCCTTAGAAAGCATTGCTAACAACAAAGCTAGTGGAGGTGATGGTATTCCAGCTGAGCTATTCAAAGTCTTAGAAGATGATGCTGTTAAAGTGCTGCACTCCATTTGCCAGCAAATTTGGAAAACGCAACAGTGGCCACAGGATTGGAAAAGATCAGTATACATTCCAATCCCAAAGAAGGGCAACGCCAAGGAATGTTCAAACTATCGCACAATTGCACTCATATCACACGCTAGCAAGGTCATGCTCAAGATCCTACAAGCTAGGCTTCAACAGTACGTGGATAGAGAACTACCAGAAGTACAAGCTGGGTTTCGAAGAGGTAGAGGAACGAGAGATCATATTGCCAACATTCGCTGGATTATGGAGAAAGCAAGAGAGTACCAGAAAAATATCTACTTCTGCTTCATTGACTATGCTAAAGCCTTTGACTGTGTGGATCACAACAAACTATGGCAGGTCCTTAAAGAGATGGGAGTACCAGACCACCTCACATGTCTCTTGAGAAACCTGTATAAGGGCCAAGAAGCGACAGTTAGAACCGGATACGGAACAACTGATTGGTTCAGCATAGGAAAAGGAGTACGACAAGGATGTATACTGTCACCTTGCTTATTTAATATATATGCAGAGTACATCATGCGAAATGCTGGCCTGGATGAATCACAAGCGGGAATTAAGATTGCTGGGGAAAAGATCAACAACCTCAGATATGCAGATGATACCACTCTAATGGCTGAAAGTGAAAAGGATCTAAAGAGCCTCTTGCTCAGAGTAAAAGAGGAGAGCGCAAAAGTGGGCTTGAAGCTCAACATCAAAAAAACTAAGATCATGGCATCCGGCCCCATCACTCCTTGGCAAATAGAAGGGGAAGTCGTGGAAGTAGTGACAGACTTCACGTTCCTGGGATCCCAGATCACCGCAGACTGTGACTGCAGCCATGAAATTAAAAGACGCCTGCTCCTTGGGAGGAAAGCGATGGCGAACCTAAACAGCATGATAAAAAGTAGAGACATCACCCTGCCAACAAAAGTCCGCATGGTCAAAGCAATGGTATTCCCAGTAGTCATGTATGGCTGCGAGAGCTGGACTATAAGGAAGGCCGAGCGCCGAAGAATAGATTCTTTTGAACTATGGTGCTGGAGAAGACTCTTGAGAGTCCCTTGGACTGCAAGAAGAACAAATCAGTCAATCCTCAAAGAAATCAACCCTGACTGTTCCCTGGAAGGCCAGATAATGAAACTGAAGCTCAAATACTTTGGCCACCAAATGAGAAGGGAGCACTCACTGGAGAAGACCCTGATGCTGGGAAAGATTGAAGGTCAAAGAAGACGGGGACGGCAAAGGATGAGATGGTTAGACAGTGTCA